AATATACAGTGGCAAGCCTAACTACACGAATCAAGCCATCGAATAACACGCATATCCAACCAAAATTCAAACTCAACCTTTCCTAACACATGAAAGACTACATACTCAACTGCAAACTCAATATTAATCCCATAAAAAACTCATTCTTCGCGCAAATACCGAAATACCAAGCCACTATCAATTCACCACAAATAACTATCAAACAGTATTACCACTCAGAACACAAATGATCACAAAACAGCCAACAAGAAAAACAGGACATGCTAATTCCAAGTGAGATACTCATTAACCTTTAACACTCCAGATAGTTTTGTAATATATCAGCAACTGCAACTAATTTTTATAGTATCCCCAGCGAAAATGAAGAATGCTATAACATTTCTCAGATCTTTTATTTTCCTTAGTGTAAAATCTGGATGTGGGGAATATCTAATAATTGTAGTTTCTTTAAGATTCATTGAAATGTCTAATATCGTTCCTGGTGCAATATCGGAGCCTACAGAGTTCAAAGGGTTAAAATTCTCAAACATTTCCCATTCTTTCAGTACACTGACTCTCGTACTATTCCATCCTCCATACACAAGTATAACACTAGGTATACGGTCATTTATCGTACACTTCATTCTATTATTCCTAAAAGAATTGATGCTCGTTTATTTAGATCGTGGAAACTGGAGATTTGATAGTAGGTAATTGGAGCACATGTCAGTGTAATCAAAATCGGCGTGAACATTTACAAAATAATATTTCTAAAATCCAATATGCGTCAATTTGACGCGTTCCGTAATTAGTGACAATCATTCTCACAAATTTCCCTTATTACTCGCCACTAACATTCACGATCTATTCCTCCCAAAGAACCGAGCCATCTCTACCGCCCTGCAACAACCAACAACTATGTCCGTGCAACTATTCCATATTCCAGGCGCGATAAACCTGCCAGCGCTGAAACCCCGGCAAAAACGCGTCGTTCGCGTCGCAACAAGTTGCACGTTCCATCTTCCCGCGAAACGGTCGTCGCGTTGCATCCGCGAAGAGGCTAACGGGCCTAACAGCCGACGGGACGGGGGCCTAAGCTAGCTTCCCGGCGAACTTCTGGCAGCAAGAAAGGCTTCGAGCCAAGGAATCCTGTAATTACATGCTCGCGGTGAACGCAGGCTCGATGCCACGCAGCCCCGCGAGCAGCAGCATTGAAACCTCCGACATCGACCTGGGCCGGGTGACTGCACTTGCGAGCGCAATCAACGCTGGTAAACGCACGCGTTCGCCGTCCGGCATTGTTGCGCGGCCATTGTTCCCCGGCCGGGTTATTGTTGCATTATCCCCGCATTATCGAGTCTTATTACCGGACGGAGTTTAAAGTCTGTTCCATTCAGATTGGCTGACGTCCAGCCGATTCCTGCGATCGGACGCCTCGATCGGGGACCCGATTGTTAGGGAGTTTTATCTGCGAGATTGTCTTCTTTTTTTGTTGGAAGATTGTTTTGTGGTTGAGTCGCTTAGAAGCTAGCGCAGTTGACACTAGAGCTACCTAGCGTTTGATACGATTGAAATGTAATCGCTGTGAATATTGTAGTAATAGATTATTTTCGGTTTCTTTGGATATTCGTTATGGTATTCGAGTGAAACTTTATTTTCGAAATCATTTCGAATATTCAATGCTTTGAAGATATTGATAATTACGAAACAGAGAAACCAGTCGTTTTGACTGGTACGGTAGTTCGTGTTAAGCTTCACAAGCCAAAGCGTTTTAACCATAGAAACCATATTCCATATCTAGTGTTAACCTTTTGCACTCGGAAGTTTTTCACTAGAAATATTTTAGCATTTTCCGATGAGATAAAGACGATATTTTGTGAGACTAACTCGAAGAGATACTATACATATACTGAGCAAAGCTATTTTATTTCAATACTTTTTAAATTCATGAGTTGTACAAGGTTTAATATTAAATATTAAATTTTATAGTTTTACTGTATGAAATTAGGTGGTGAGTGAGTGTAAAGGGTTGACCCCTTGCCCTATGATATTTTAACTGTGATCGATACAACTTTGGTAGTAATAAGTTTTTGTAAGAGAAAAATTCAATGGCTATTCTATGTCTATATTTGCCGTATAATATAATAATACATGACAGAGAAATGATGTGATCCGGTGGAGATGGATCATTTGGTATTGTGCTCCACTGTCTCTGATTTGGAAAGTTTAGTTGTAGGGAACTTTGACTTCGGGATTAATGGATGAAGTACAATGTATCATTTCTTCATCTGGAGTAACAGGGTTTCCTTAAGAAATCCGTGATTGGTTCAGTTTATTTATATAAATTAACCATAGCTCGTATCAGAAGATGCGAACCAGCCAATTTGGCTGTTTGTTACGTGCAGCGCCGTTAAAGATCTATCGCGCTTAATGAAAGACCTGTTAACATTCCGAATGAAATACGGTTCTAATTACGTGCTGTCGAAGGGTCTCCTCGATGAAGTATGGTTATTCATTTCCAACTAAATTTGAATACTAAAACAATCCCTCCGCCATATACCTCACATAAACCACGCCACCAAATTGCACCTCTCAACGCCAATACAAAAAGATTCACTCGAAAATCCTACAAATCCAACGAAAAACACGAAAGAACGTTTAAAATAATCATTCTAAAAACGATAATACACTCGTACATCATCGCAGGAATCCCTCGAAACTTGAATAAGAAACGACCCTATATAAATCTCTCGATGAAACGTGGTTATTCATTTCCAACTGAATTTGAATATTAAAACAATCCTCCCACGATATATCTCACGAATCGCGTCACGAAATTGCACCTTTCAACTTCAATACAAAAAGATTCAATCGAAAGTCCTGCGAATCCGACGGAAACGCGGGAGGGCGTTTAAAATAATCATTCTAAGAACGAAAATACACTCATACATTATCGCGCGAGTCGCTCGGAGTCCGTCGAATAAGAAACGACCCTATATAACACACCGGGAAGATTTAGTGGCGACGTTGAAGGGCCCCGCGAACGTTTCTATAACCGTTCGGCCGTTATTAAACGTATCCGGGCCCTCGCCGTCGGCGACGATCGGTTGGAATTATGAAAAATGATCGTTCACGGAAAGGCGGCGGCAATAACAGGGTACAAGGCTCGAACGGCTCCCCCCCCCCAGCTCGCCGCTTTTAATCTCGCGCGCAGACGTTGCGCCTCTGTCCCTGCTGCTCCCGAAACGAGGCGCCGACGTTTTGTGCATTAAATCGCGATGCGCCGCGCGCTCACGGCTACCGATCGATTCGCACCCTTACCTTTCGTCGCCGCGGCTGCACGCTAACGGTTGCTCGCGAGTCCGACTTCATTTGCATTTTACGGGACGCGTCGTGAGCGAGCGCGGCGCGGCGCGCTTACAACGTTTGCGAAGAGCGAAAGCTTGTTACACACCGGATTAAAAGTCTCTTAGTAGCTCCACGGCTTGAAAATTCCGATTTGTTCCCTCGGTGTGGGCGGCGGCTAATTGGAAGCAGCCTGGGTGGTTTTTCTTTGGATACTTGTTGCGCGGATGCCTCGCTGATAAGCTGTTACTGCGGTTTAGCTGATTTATGGGGAGTTTTTAACTCTGCGGACGAGGATTCTTATTTCATATGAAGCTAAATTATCTCTTGCTGTTCGACTAATTAGATCATTTGTCTATGACTTATTCTTCCAAATCTAAACTTTTCATCTTATCGAAATGCCGACATCCGTCCGCGAAGGGTTAACGTGGGCGACTTGGATTTTAGTCGAGTGTGTATTCTATTGTTTTGTTGGGATGATTTGTGTATTTTGAGTACTTATAAATTCAGATTGGAAATCTGGTAGTATACACTTCGTGATTACTTAATCAAATGGGTGCAGCATTACAATACAGCAATTGATGTGTCTAATGCATCAGATTGCAAACTGATGCATCTGAACGTTCCTATATTGACCTTTTGTACTCGAGAAGTGATTCACCGCTTGTTTTGACACATCAAAACTATAAAATCTTATATATAAGATTAAGCTTCGTATAAAGCATTAACATAAGGAATATTGAAATAAAATATCTCTGAATTCACGTATCCCTTCTCATTAGTTCCAAGAGAATGTCACCTACATCTAACCAGAAGAATATTAAGTATCCTTAATTCTTAATATTCTTATATTATATATTTATCCCTTACATTAACCCTTTGCGCTCCAGAGGTGCCTCTCACTCACCAATTGATTTCATACAGTAAAACTATAAAATCTGATACTCAATATTAAACTTCGTACAATGCATCAATTTGAGAAATATTCGAACAAAATAGCTTTGTCCCTTGATGTAAGTGTGATTTCCCAACGAGTTAGTTTCACAAAATATTCTCTCTATCTCATCAGGAGACGTTAAAATATTTCCAATGAAAAACTTCCGAGTGCAAAGGGTTAACACTAAAACTACCGTACCAGTCAAACTGATTTCAGTTCTTGTTTCGCAATTATTGATATCTTCAAACCATTGAATATTCGAGATGATTTTGAAAAAAAATAGTTTCACTTGAATACTATAATGAATATCCGAAGAAACCGAAAATAATCCATTACTATAACTAATCTATACTACTGCCATGAGAATTTTAGGCATTCTATACAATATTCCTTATTCTTTTACAACAACGACAAATCTTGTAGTAACCCATTCACTGCTAGCATAAAACGTATGACTTCATTTTTACTTTCAATATATTTTGCTTCATATTACGATACATTTCAAATACAACCAACATTGTACCAAACTGGCAATCTCTTGCCACGAGTATATTCGTGCCAGTGAATGGGTTAATATTCCTATATCATAATTCTTAATATTCTCAAAAACTGACAAGTGCAAAAGCTTAAATTTAACCGAAACAACCCCAGTGAACCCCAATTAGCAATCTCAATCAGCAAGCACCTTATATCACTGGAAACCGACAATCAACTAAGATTACGAAGTACTGGTACTTACGAACAACACCACGTTGTAGATGTGTAGGACATATTTGAGGAAATTGACGGAGCAGCAACCGTCGTCCCTGGTCCTCAGCCTGGTGGAGGTACCGGGCAGCCTCTCAGCGCTCTTGGCCATGATTCGTTCGCTCGTGTCTTCGCGTGTCTCCGTGATCGTGGTCGTCACGTCGTCACCGACTCTGCGAGCAGCAAGACATTCGCACGGTTAGAGGATAGCCCCTGTTCCGCGGGACGGAGCGGAAGGATTGAATCGCCCGGCGGAATTCGATCCCGGTCTCGGCGAAATTGCGTTTCCCGTAGCGCGCCGCCTCCAGTCGATTTTCCCCGCGTTTCGAATACCGACCGGGTGTCTTTCGCTCGAATTCTATATAATTCGAGTAAATCTATCTCCGCGCCGCCCGCTCCGACTCCTTGGCAACCGGCCAACGGACGAGGCCCGTCCCGCGCTCCGCCGTCGGAATATCGCGCGTAGGTAAGGGATACGGATTGATTTACGCGTCTGATGGACCTCGATGCATGCCAATCGAGCTGCGAATGGTAATATTCTCTAATTAGGAAAGTATAATCGAGTCGTCGCGAGTGTGGGAACTTGATTCGACGGGAGACACTTGTTTGAAGACAAATTTCCGATTGGCATCGCTGTTTCATCGTGTTGGAGATGGATGATTAAATAATGTGACTTTATTATAAAGCTTTGAAGAACTCTAGCTCAAGTTCTCGAATGCGAATGACTCGGAACAAACAAAGTAAGAAGAAAAGTCTCTTGACTTCGTGTGACAAAATAGACACATCTGGTTGCATTTATATCGCCTTTGTTTAGACTAAAGATATATGAACGCTGCATTCTTGCTTTTGCTAGAATTTAGTACTGATTCAACACATCGTTCTGAAGTGATGATAAAGAAATACTATCGTTGTGTATGTTTTGTTCGTTTCACTGTTTGGAGTGACCGAGTTTGCTAAAAAAGACGTTTCCATATTCTGTATAGGAAAGTTCCTTCCTCATCCATTCTAGCTTTCCATTCAGGAAAATGTATGGTAGTCGAAGTGTCGAAGAGAATTATAAAATTCCAGTAAGCAGTGAATACCAGCGAGAAAATCGAGAGTGTGTAAGGGTGAGCGAATGAAACTCCATGGAAAAATAGAGCAGCCGCATCGCGGCTCGGAGCCACCAAAATCGAATGAAATCGAATGGTAACGCCGTGGGGGGAGGGACGATCAAGGAACCGGAAGTAACTTCGTCGCAGTTCAAAGGATAAGCGACACGCGTTGGCACGAGCCCATCGCTAACATCGTTCCACGTTGCCAAGGAATGTCGGAGGAGCTTCCTCGGGTCGAACGCGCTGCCGCGAACGATCGACCGCTTCTTTTTCCGACGTCCCTTTGCCTATCCCCCTCCCCCCGGTGTCTAGAGCGCTGCGGTAACCCTTCACCCTAACCCCCGTTGCGTGCAAAGACTCCTGAAAGCGGTCGGTTTTACATTCGCGAAGATTTAACTCGCCTCTCGAAACCTTTTCTTCCGTTTTGCAGTTTCCTCGGATGCCCGTGGAACGAGGGACTTTCCGCTTTGATCTCCCGTCTTTCGAAAAGACAGGCTTCAGCTAATTTCCTATGGAATTTCGCGAGTGACACGGGTATCCGTTTTGTAGGTGAACTTTTCCTAGTGGAGAGCTACGCGAGTCTTTGGTACTGTGGAGAGCATTGACGATGGAAACTATAATGAAATGCATTCTTCTCTAGTTGTTAGTGCGTTGCAATGATGATATGATCGTTGATATCTAATCGTGTAAAAATCGATAGAAAGAAAATTTCATCGTCCTAGATTAATTCTTGGTTACTGTTGACGGCTAAAGGCGCTTCAGAAATTTGGTTTTTTTAGAAATTAGGCGTCGATGATGTGTTATTGACAATAATTGCAGCAAGGCTTGCTTAGATCAGTGAATTCTAGTTCAACAATTACATTTTTCGTTAGTCATGTTATATGTGGTTATTTTATACTGGTTTAATTTAGTTCAACTCAGTGTTTCGACAGTTTGAATACACTTCCTTACGAACGGTCGCTAACGCAAAATTCTGCCAAGGGGTTAAATCAATTGGATGGAATAAACAGGTAACAACCGTGTATAGACTTCCTTCGAGTGTACATAATAATTTTATAGACAATAACAGAATAAACCACGAACATTCGTTTGTTTTCCGCAACGAATGGAAATTCTCTCCATCTTCCGCCTATTTCCAGACCATAGCTCGTGCCACGCTGGCCACATTGTATTTAACCGGACCTAGCTCAACGAGCACGTTATTCAAATCTCTCGACAAGATCGACCACCCGATCCCGCGTTAGTGTGGTTCGTTACACGGCGGCGGCGAAAATTTCGCGCGGCGCCGGGCTACGATTCGTTTGCCCGGGATAACGACGAGCCGAGAATTAATTAGGAACCGGTAGCACGGTAACCGGCGAGCAACGGGGTTCGGCGGGATAGGGGGCGGCAGGGTGGAGAGTCGCTTATTTACGTCCGTTAATTGTGTGTCCGCAATTAGAGCGTGCGCGATCGAGAATCCGCGAACCGGCGAATAAAGACTTAATTGTGCCGGAGAGAGCGAGGCTCTCGCCGGGCGAACCGGATTTTTGGTAAACCGCGGCCGCCCGATTCAAAAGGATAAATGCCGGGCTAATGAGAACGAGGGGGAGGCGAGGAGCGGCGGACACGCGGCGACCGGGAAGAAAGGGAAAGGGGTGGCAGCGGGCAAACGGAAGTACAGTCGGCATAGTAAGAGCAAGTTGTAAGGGAAGTTTCGTGGCTGGTAGCGTAAAAAATTTTCGAAGTTTCCGCTGGAAATGCTTCTAATTAATGGTTGTCGCGATGAGATCATCATTGTTTTTTGTTGATCTTGCTGCGGTATTTCGTTGTGTCTTTGGAGTTTAAAGGTTTTGAGTTTTTAACCCTTTGCACTTGAAATTTGTCGCTAGAAATATTCAATCTATTTTTATGAGATATAGCTTACTCAAGACTTAATGTTAAATACAATTTTACAATTTTGATGCACCAATCGAGTGACTGAGAGGCGCCTTTCGAGTGCAAAGGGTTAAATGGTTGAATTGTTGAGTGTTTGAATATTTGAATTTTTGAATATCTGAATTTCTGAATATTCAAATATTTAAACGTTTACATACTTGAATTTTTGAATATTTAAATATCTGAATGTCTGAATATATGAATAAATATTAAAAGTTTTTGCATTTTTGAATGACTTCCATTTATACCAAGCACCTCTCCTAAGTACTTTAACCGTTCGTTCATCGCCAGTCATATTAGCGACAAACTAACTAAGTCAATTCTGTTGCTTCATATTTTCAATTATCGTCCTTTCATTCCCTCCAGTCTCAGTAACACAAAAGAAACTCACGATCTGCTCCTACACGTCAAGATCGTGATTTAACCGAGTATATAGACTCAAACGCATTAACACAACAATATAATATCGCACCTCTAACATTTACCGTCGCAAACACCCGTACAAACTTTCTAATCCATCTCTCAATCGCGTTACAAGAATGGCAGCAATTCTTTAACCCCACCGTACAAGCTCCCACCGCATAATAAACGTCACTAATCAAACGCAGAACCTCGCTCCCAAATCGCTTGAGATATCCCATAATCCCATCGTTAAACCGCAATTCACAATAAAGTCACAAATCACGCGAAGAAACTGTCCACCGCATCGTTCGAAATATCCCATAATCCCACCGTCAAACCGCAACTCACAATGAACTCGGAGATCACTCGAAGAACCTATCTCCCGAATCCTTTCAAACACCATAACTCTATCCTCAATTCTTCACGAACGATCAAGCTACCGGTTTACACTCCTTACAATCCCAACACTATACCTATTAAATATTTCAAACTGCATCATTCCTCTTTCCTTCTCTCACAATTACTAAAGGTAATCAATGCTTCTCTATCAACACATTGCGTACCGGCTGATTTTCGGAAAACTGAATTGTGATGGCAATTTCCACTGAGGTCAACTTATATCCCTGTACATAGAAAAACTCAGATATACTGTTATGTAATATATTTTAAATAGATAATCAATTCCAATTAAATTTTATATTTTTTTCAATGTTGTGGTAATTAGTGCAATTGCATAGCTAAGTGTATTTATATGAAAACGAGATTTCTCGTTACCAGTACGCAATGTAACACTAAAACTACCGAGCAGTTCAATTGACTTTTTAAAATTTCGCTATAGAGACTCCAAGAGTGCATCTGTTCGGAGTTTAATTGATTTACAATTCAATTCGCGTAGTGCTAAATGAATCTCTTTAATAATTTCTCAGAGAAACATTTGTCACCTCTCTAATAATTGCAAAAGGAAGATATCAGGCATGAGTCATTTGACCCGTCCGGTAGTTTTAGTGTTAACACGTTGACTGCCATGGAAACCTTCAGAGTTTTATGTATCACTTATTCTTTTGTAGTGGAGATCAAACACTTAGCTAATCGAACGAAGAGATCTCCCACTTTCCACTCACCAACGTATTGCCTTCCATTTCGTTTCTATTTCCTTCTATAGTTCAGCAATTCCAAAAGTGGGATTATTTACAATTCATCGAATACTCTTTCTACGAAACAAAGTTCTCAACAAAACTAATCGAATAAGTTCAAGAAGACAATGAAAGAGATTATAGTTAACCCTCTGCACTCTAAATCCTTCCACTATAAACATTCAACATTTTATAAAACAAATGACACTACTCAAAACGAACCAATGAGAAACCACAAGTTAAACAAAGCAATTTCATACAAACATTTCACCTATCGATACAAAAAACTCAATATTATACCCAACACGTTACATCAAATCAAACGACAGTCACCTCTCGAGTGCAAAGGGTTACCTAGAACAATCGATCCAACGCCGCGCGGACAGAACGATTCGAAGTTCCAATAAGTCCGCTCCGAAATTTTCCACGAGAAAATGAAATAAAGTCGCTCCGTCTGCTCGGTAGTTTTAACGACGCAGTAACACAGGTCGAGATTACGGCGTACGGGGTTCAGGCTAGACAGACCGTAGGTCGTAAGGCGGCCGGGGAGGGGGTTCGGAGGCGATTGCAACGGTGCCCCGGAGAAACCTGAGCAGGGAAGATGAAAGAAGAGAAACCGCGAAATTA